GTGAGCATTGGGCTTCCTTGATAGCATTTTTTGGACTTCAGGTGTGTTGCGGAAGAACGTCGAGGGCCGTCGTATCGTTTTGGTTGACGACTCAATAGTTCGTGGAAATACGATGCGAATCCTAGTACACATGCTGCGGAACGCGGGCGCAAGAGAGGTTAGTCAGCTCCCATGCGTGACTTTTGAAACGACACCATCAGCGCCTCATTTCAGGTTCATCTCCGTATCGCGTCACCTCCAGTGAAATTCCCATGCTTCATGGGAATAAATATACCCACAGCAGAAGAGCTACTGGCCAGTAAGCGGAACCTCGCTGAAATCACTGAACATATCGGGGCAGATTCGGTGCAGTATCTATCAGTCGAAGGCCTTCTGAAGGTATTATCTACTATCTGATTACAGCATGACCGCTACAACTAATGGGACTTGTTCAGGCTGTACAGTCGGGCATCGAACGGCGGACCAATTTCGATATCGGTCACTGTACTGGTTGTCTTACTGGAAAGTACCCCGTGGCTATCGACTTCTAGACAAATAAAGACAACAATATGTTCCTAATGTATATAGATACCATTGCTGCCTTTGTAAATAAAGGAACTTTCATCGATCTCTCATTTTTTGTGGAGTTTTTGCGGAGCTATCATCAGTAAAGCCCGTGATTGAAAGACGGTGCGATAACTGACTCTCAAGTTGGGCTTTAATAAAAAGTTGTCATAAGAAAAAAAAGAGGGCAAAACAAAGGCAGAAGGGCACTGTTTTTGCCTGGATGACCAAATACCTATCAGAAAACAGGCATCACGTCCCGTTTCAAGCTGAATTTAAAGGAGGAATTCACGATAAGAACGAAGTGAAAGAAGGGGAAATTGCAGGGTGTCCCCCAACAGGCCCACCGCGCGGCGAAGGAAGAGACGCAGACGCGGCAAAGGGACGAGTCGCAGCGCATACTGTAGCGGTTAGGCGTCAGGTTAAAGAGAGCGGCCGCTTGAGCGATCTATCGCTGCGAGCGACGGGAGATTTACACGGCCGACCAACGATAATTCGGCGTCATCAGCTCGTAAATGTCCCGTCGCTCGCACTTTGGAGCGGGCCGTGATAAGTGCCTTGGCCGTTGTGGCAGGGAGCTGCGAGCGACGGGACATTTACGATGGCGCCGAATTATCGTTGGTCGGCCGTGTAAATCTCCCGTCGCTCGCAGCGATGGATCGCTCAAGCGATCCGTCGCTCCTGCAATTTGTGCACAATCGCTCCAATCGCAAAGTCTGACATCGGCCAGTGCACAAGACTACTCCCTCAATATCGCACAGCACGCGCTGCAACTCGTCTCTTTGCCGCATCTGCGTCTCTTGCTTCGCCGCGCGGTGGGCTTCCTGGGGGACACCCGAAATTGCATGATGGGTAGACAGGCGGACCTCCTGAGCTGCTGACCGACGCGCAATTGGCAGCGAAAGATTTGACCTCGGCGATGTAGTACCGCTCACTCTTGGCGCGGTCGGCGGGGTACGCCCACCGACTATCTAATCACTCGTCGCAGGTCCAAATAAGGCGACTGATGGAAAGCGGAGCTCTCACATTCCTCGAGTGCATAGCGACTAGAAGTGATGAGCTCTTAAGCACCAAAGCGTTTTCGTTGAAATCTCCTCCTTTTAAGAAAAAGGAATTAAATGCTAGCCCATTTCGCACCAATACATTCGCATTCGTGTGCAAGAGGCATTTACTAGTTCATCGAAAATGTATGCTATACGAAGTTATTACGAAATCAAGTAATTAAAGCCAGCCTCATCCAATATTTCATAATTTTCACAAAATGACATCCACATCGTTTACTGAACTAACGAAGGTCGAGAATCTGTTGAATAAATATTGCGTGCTTCATCAGTAGATTTTATCCGAAATTACACAACACCCAAGCAATTCAAAATTCGACCTCAGCAAGATTGTATTTTGATACGGATCACGAAACTGAAGATTTTCGAAGATAATCAAGATTGTTTACAGCCCAACAACCCATAAAATGTTTTATTAGTTCTCTAAGAATTTTGTACACGGCAATTTTTTGCGCTCTACAAAACAGCAGCATACTCGATTCCACATAAACTATATACCTATAACATCATTCAAACCGGGACTACGAAAAGAATCGATGGGAGAGTAGGAAGGAACCTTGAGAATGTTACCTCATTATAAGGAACAATTCTATTTCACTTGAGAATTAAGACACATATGATTCCGAGCAGATCAATCAATCAGAATCGTTCCTAGATTAATCAGGTAAACTCGTCAGGAGAATCAATTCAACACACCATGGAAAGATAAAAAGTAATGAAGGGGCTGACAGGCTACCAGCTTTGTTATAAAAATACTAATCTACTTCTGCTGATTCACAACAGCTTCATCCGTGTTTACCTTGCGCACGATATCCTTGACAATGGTGCAGTCCGGTGGAGCATCAGTGAAGAGCGTTCCAACAAACGCATTTGTACCCCACACAACATGTTGGAGGACCTGAAGAAGATGTTCATACTTTGGCCAAAACATCTTGCAGTGGGACCACACGGAGTTTCCGAAAGGTATACACCAGCTTTCTTCAAAACGGGTCTCCGATTTTGCGCGTAGCAAGCCAAAGCCTGACCCCAGATTTAAGGATAGCCCAGATGACCTGGCGTAGGAGAACCGAACGAACTGAACTGCACCCTTATTGCTATATCGAGTTCAGGTAGAAAACCACGAACGCCTATCCCGAGAAACGCATAACCATGACTTTCTAAAGTATGTGTTGCGAGTAAACGAGTACAACTACTAGAAGCAGATTCAACTTCAGATAAAGAACGGTAGATGCCCTACATTTCACACATCCAGCTCACATCCAATCCAAATTTTTGTACCGAATCATTCACCCTGGAGCTATTAAAACCTAAAGACTCTCACCCCTCCAACCTAAAGACAAGGTCAAGATCTCCATCACCCTGGTTCAATACAATTTTCTTGGATTATTGCAGGCCAAATTGTGGGAGCGCCTCGGATTACTTTAACACTACGCCAGTACTTATATATTTCGAACGAGTTTTCGTGTCATCAGCGCTCTCATTCGTACCCCAAGTACTGGAGAACACAATTAAGTACCCCCTTGGTTGAGCTGGTTTTACATCATATATGAAAGTGAGCTCGATGGTAATTTATCAACACACGAACCTTACAGCAACCTAGATCCTCGATGCGGAAGCCCATTTGTTTGTAAGCATCATCTGTTTCGAAAAGAGTGTGATTGGTGAACTTTCCTGTAAACGTAAAAAGTAGTAAAGTAGAAAATACCTTCAAAGAAACTTATTGGAATCAAAGTCAAAAACAAAGAAGCCACGGTCAAAAAAGGTTTGGGTTATACGAACAATAACTTACCTAGATATGGTCTACCAGAAGAAGGGTCTATGAAGTCAGCCCAGTATCCGCAGCGACGTAGAGTCGTACAGATTGCAGTTGCAGAAGAGATGAACTAAACAGATGTGTAATATCGTACAACACACAACAAGACTGATTACAGGAATCCAAACATGAACCCCGTAATCCTCAATCCTCAAAATGAGATTGTAAACAAACCGAAGCCGTGAGCATCTCACGCTCCTGCTCCATTTCTTCACTCCATGCCTTCATATCATGTTCAGTTTTTTGAGTAATGTTGATCACACTGACATTGACATTATCGAAATGCATTCCGGGGAAGAGATGTTTCATATCTGAAAGCATGCTTTTGAGGCACGTTTCGGTAGTGGGGAAAAAAGAAAGTGAGAAAAAATCATTTACCTGCATAAATACCCTAATTAATAAATGTTTCGAAGAAGGAAACCAGACAGTGATGAAGAGGGTGAGTAATAGTATAACAAGAGACTACTTGATAGGCTCCCAGACAATACCTAACCATTTGGGCGCGGCCGCGGCGAACGCGGCCGAGTTGATAGGTGCCCGCGAACTCAGCACAGCACAGTTCGCGGGCACCTCGAGTGCGTTTTCAACGGTTCGCGGGCACAATCGACTCGGCCGCGTTCGCCGCGGCCGCGCCCAAATGGTTAGGTATTGTCTGGGAGCCTACTTGATAAGACGAAGAGAATCAACCGAAAACTAGGTGAATTCAACGGTGACATAAAGAACATACTGACATGAGCTTGGAGAACGCCGAAATCGAAATCGAATAAAGTTAAAACAAATAAAGAACAAGGCACAAAGAAAGGTACGAGAAGTAAAAAATTTAGGCACAGAACATATTACAAAAGCGACAAAACCTATCACACACCTTTCTTCAAAAGTCTTGGGCACTCTTGCACAGTAAGCTCAACGGGCCAATCACCAGCATTTGCTTGCGCCTGGAATTTTAATAAGTACATTTCACAAGCATGTTAGAAGACACGTTTTCCACCATTCAAGCAGGCTTCAAAAAGGTAAACAAAACTCAACGAACTGTTGTCAGAAAACCCTTCTGCAAGAAAGCTTTTGAATTTATTGCTTCTTCTTTCTTATCTGACTTATGAATTTGACGTTACCTTTATCTTTTGAGTAAAAATCGTGAAAGATGAATGGGATATGGAGACTAGATGTGGAAAAATTTAAGGTTTCGAACGGGTAGAATTGCCTCTTGCGTAACATAGCGCATTTCAACCTTGAGCACAATGCACTCCCATAATCATTGTGCAACAGCGAAAGGGACAAAGACCATGCGTTTAAACCTGGTAATCTATAATAGTATCAATAGCATTGAAAATGTTCTGTGCAACACTAGTTCGTGAACCTGATTTTAGAACCAAAACAAACAACTTCTAAACAGTTACCCTGTCCAAGTGTTTCAAACGGAATCACACGGTTGATAATAGGATATGGGGATAGCCCCGCGAGTAAACTAGGCATGGTATCTGGGTGAAAAATC